AAATATTGTACCATCCTTGTGTCCCTGTTACTTCTTGATCTGCCTGGTGTTATGTGTATCCCTGAGTTCCCTATTTTGTCCCTTCACCCTGAAAGCTGATTTTTTTGTTTAAATCCTTCCCATGGGATGTGTTTGTTGATTTTAGAGAGAGATTAAAGGTAAAAGGGAGAGAAAGAAATATTGATCAGTTGCCTCCCTATTTGCTCTGGCTGGGAACAGCCTACAGCCGAGGTGTGTGCCCTGACTGGGAATCGAATCTGTGACCTTTTGGTATACCAGATGATGCTCCAAGTAACTGAGCCTTCTAGCTGGGGTCTGAAAATTGATGTTTTATATTTCCCGTTTTGCTGCATAGTTCCCACAAGTATACCCATGTCCAAGGCAAAGTGATGTGTGTTTGTATATCACTCATTCCTTGAGGTTCCTGCTTTGCAGCAGGCAGAGAAATATTGATGTTTGGAAGTAAGTCAAATTTTAAAGTCCCTGTTTTCTCAAATATATACTTGTATGTAGGCCTATCCCTGGTTTTATATATAAAAGCATTTACAACAGAGATGATCTTTTTTACTGACATGAGTCTTGTAAAGTTTTTCTTTTTTAAAAAAGAAAAAATATTTTTAAGGTAGTGTTCTGAGAACATTTGTTATTCTTTAGATTATTGTCTCCCTTCTCAAGTCAAATTCTGAACATCCACGTGACATCACCAATAAAAATGTAATTTATCTATGTTGGAAATTTGGCAAACACTTATTCTTCACTGTCAATCATTATTGCCTATTGAACTTTTCTGTATACACATTCCCAGGCCCCATCCCTAGAGATTCTGATTTAGCAGGTATACAGCACAATACATAAAGAACAAAATGGCCTGCATGCCAGACTTCCGGCCAAGATGAAGGCATAGGTTAGCTTACTTTGCTTCCTTGCACAACCAAAAGATGAACAACAACAAACTGAAAAATAAAAAACAACCAGAACCGACAGCAAATCAATCTGTATGGAAGTCCCACAACCAAGGAGTTAGAGAAGAAACATTTGTACAGACTGGTAGGAGGGGTGGAGATGGGCAGCCAAGTGGAGAGGACTGACAGCAAAGCAGAAGCTGATGGAGCAGGCGAGGCAGCAGTTGGTATACCAGGCAGTCCAACGTTACTGTGTGGATAGACTAGGAAGAACAAATGGGGAGTGAGACAGACTGCACAACTCAGGGTTCTGGCACAGGGAAATAAAGCCTCAAAACCTCAGACTGATAAAACCTCTGAGGGTTGAGGCAGTAGGAGAAACTCCCAGCCTCACAGGAAAGTTCCTTGGAGAAACCCACAGTATCCTAGAATGTACACAAAACCACCCACCCAGGAATCAGCACCAGGTGGGCCCAGTTTGCTTGTGGGTAGCAGTGGGAGTGACTGAAAGCCAGCAGAGAGCTGAACAAGCAGCACTGTTCCCTCTCTGACCCCTCCCCCCCATACAGCACCACAAAGCAGCCTCGTGGATTACACTGCCCTGAGAATGCCCAAGGCTTCACCCCTTACTACGTAACAAGTGTACTGAGACAAAAAAAAAATGGCCCAAATGAAAGAACAGATGAAAGCTCCAGAAAAACTATAAATAAGCACTGAAGAGGTAGTCAATCTATCAGATGTGCAGTTCAACACTGGTACTCTGGATGCTCACAGAATTGGTTGTGTGTGGTCACAAAATAGAGGAAAAAGTGAAAGGTATGAAAAGTGAAATCAAGGAAAATATACAGGGAACCAACAGTGACAGAAGGAAAACCAGGACTCAAATCAATGGTTTGGACCAAAAAGAAGAAGTAAACACTTAACCAAAACAGAATGAAGAAATAAGAATTCAAAAATATGAGGGGAGGCTTAGGAACCTCCAAGAGAACTTTAAAGATTCCAACATCTGAATCACATGGGGTATACCAGTAGGAGAAGAGGACGAGCAAAGGAATTGAAAACTTATTTGAAAAAATAATGGAGAACTTCCCCAATCTGGTGAAGGAAATAGACTTCCAGGAAGCTCAAAGAGTCCCAAAGAAGTTGGACCCAAAGAGGAGCACACCAAGGCCCATCATAAGTACATTAGCCAAGATCAAAGATAAGGAGAGAATCTTAAAAGCAGGAAGAGAAAAGGAGAGAGTTACCTACAAAGTAGTTCCCATTAAACTATCAGTTGATTTCTCAAAAGAAACTCATCAGGAAAGAAGGGCCGGGAATGAAGTATTCAAAGTCATGAAAAGAAAGGACTTAACATCTCAGATTACTCTATCCGGTAAAGCTGTCATTTAGAATGGAAGGGCAGATAAAGTGCTTTCCAGACAAGGTCAAGTTAAAGGAGTTCATCATCACCAAGCCCCTATTATATGGAATGTTAAAGGGACTTATCTAAGAAAAAGAAGATAAAAAACATGTACAGTAAAAATGAGAGCAAACTCACAATTATTAACAACCACGCCTAAAACAAAAACAAAAACAAACTAAGCAAAAACTAGAAAAGGAACAGAACCACAGAAATGGAGATCACATGGAGGGTTAGCAACAGGGGAGTGGGAGGAGGAGAGAGGGGGAAAAGATACAGAGAATAAGTAGCATAGATGGTAGGTAGAAAATAGAGAGGGGGAGGGTAAGAATAGTATGGGAAATGTAGAAGCTAGAGAACTTGTAAGTATGACACGTGGACATGAACTAAATGGGGGAATGTTGGTGGGAGAGGGTGTGCAGGGTGAAGGGGAGTGAAGGGAAATGGGACAATTGTAATAGCATAATCAATAAAATATATTTTAAAAAATCAGCAAACACAAAGTCATGCAGTTTTTCTACTTTTTTATTTCAAGAAATTTTAGTCTTGTATGTTATATTTCTGTGATTCATTTTGAGTTAATTTTGTGTAACACCTGTGCTTGGGTTAACTCTTTTACGTAAAAAGTTGACCATTGAGTGTGCGTGTATTGGGGCACTGACACCCCATGCAGTTGAAAATCTGTGTATTACTTTTGACTCCCCCAAAACTTAACTGCTAATAGCCCACTGTTGACCCAAAAGCCTTAGAGATAACACAGTTGATTAACATATATGTTATATATGTTACAGAATGTATTATTACGATAAAGTAAGCTAGAGAAAAGAAAATGTTAAAATCATAAGGAAGAGAAGATGCATTTACAGTTTTTACTGAAAAAAGTTCACATATAAGTGGACTAGTACAGTTCAAATCTTGTTCAAGGATGAACTGTAATTTTGTGTAAGAATTTCACAAAATTAGGCAAAGAGGACAACTATACTAGCATAATCAATAAAATATATGAAAAAAATTTACCTACATGCTTATGTCTCCTTTTTTAGCACTATTGTTTTGATGCAAGATATTTCCATGGTCTGGGAGATTTCCTTGAGGACAAATATGTCTGAGAAAGATTGTAGTGGTATTGTTCCTTGAAGGTTATTGACTCAGTGGGTTCCCCACGGCAGCAAGATGCTGTCTGAACAAACAAGGTGCCAAGCTGGAGTTATACTGGTTTGGTTAGTGGCTGAGTTCTTGATCATCACCCGGATATTGATATATTCTTCACTGGTTCATCTTTCTTGTGGTTGTCTGTGAATTCTTGAACCTGGCATTTCTTTTTTGTTTTTTAAATATAATTCTTATTCCCAGTTGTTTCCAACTATTCATAATTGCAGTTTTTTTCCAAGTTGGTTATTATAGAATAGTATATTTCTATAGTGGCAATAAGACATAATCAGTGACTGAGGAGATTATCCAGTATAAGATTTTTTCAGCCCTTACAGAGAATTATTTATAGTAATTAGTTATAAATAATACCAAGCAACATGTTAATGTTACATAATTTTTTCAAGAAATTTAAGAAAATGTATTTCCTTGAAAATGATACTGAGTCACAGTTCTTCTTAATTTTCCTGATCCTTCCTTTTGCACAGGGCCAAGACTTTCCTTACACCAATTTTTAAAAATTGCAATGACTATTTTTTCTTTTTTTTTTTTCACATTTTTTATTATTGTTGAAGTACAGTTGTCTTCATTTTACCCCCGCCACTCACTCCCATCCCAGCCATCCCTACTTCCCATCCTTGATCCTACCCTCTTTGGTTTTGTCCATGTGTCCTTCATGTCCATGTGTTCCTGAAAACCCTAAGAAATGAACCTGCCATTTCTTAGCTGTTTTTTCCCATTTGGGAAGGCGTAGGACTTAATATTGTCCTATTATTTTTTTTATTGTGTTTAAAGACAGAAAGTATAATGTTTTTAAACATTTTTTTATTGAGGGTATAGCTTAGATACAGTAAACTGCTGAATGTGTACCAATCTTAAGTATACAGCTTGAATTTTGCTAATACGTACTCTTGTAACCACCATATAGTCAAGTCATAGAACATTCCATCATCCTGATAGGTTACTTAGTGCTCCTTTCCCATTGGTAACCACTTCCCTCTGAGTCAGCCACTGGTTTTCTGATTTCTAACACCATAAATTAGTTTTTCCTGTTCTTAGATGTAATGTAAGATACAAAATATATATTCATGTGTCTATAATTTTTAATCAAATGTGTTTTGTGTCCAGGCTTTGCTGCATTACTTAATATTACTGTTTCTGTCTCCTTTATTCTGCTAACACCACAGCGAAAGCAAAGCAGATTTAATTGACTTGTATTTTATGTTTTCTTATAGGTGAGAGAACAGTAAAATTCTTTAGAAAATTTCTCATATTTCTTTTCCCACTCTGAAAGTTTCATTGGCTTTCTGTTTCACTCACTCATATAGTATGTTATTTATTGCCACAAATTTTCTTTTTCCTAGCTCTCTTTTTTCCTAGCTCTCTTTTTTCCTCTCCCATATTCCTTCTATAAGTGTATAGATGAAAGGGAGATTTCTAAAATCTTCTTTTCTGACCATGCTAGCATTTGGTCTGGGGTGAATTCAGGTTGACTTGCGTACCTATAGTTATTGTATTAATCTCATACTTCTGTTCTTTTCTGACAGCATGATGGAAGTGGTTCATTGCATGATGTCCAGCTATCATTACCATCTAGTCCAGAACCAGAAGATGGTGATCAAATATGTAAGGTATGTCTAGGTGGTCATACTGAATGTTTCAAAATTCTTCTTATTACCAAAATTGTAAAGTAACCAGAATTAAAACATTTACTAATAAATGTCTTAAAACCTTTAGCTTTGCTGTCTTGAGTTTAAACAAGTTTGCTTTTAACTTTTGCTACCTGGTTAAGTTTAAATGATATCCCTGTTGGGCTTTAATTTGAATTTATCAGCTGGATAATCATTTACCCAGGATACTGGCACAGGATACTTTCTATTTTAAATATCATTAAATTTTGAAAATTCTTTTTTATAATTATGAATAATAGTTTTAAAACTATGACTACCAATAAAAATTAAAATGATTAACAGATACTTCTTATATATCATATCACAACACTGAAAAACTATAGTGAAAAAGAGATTTTTTCCCCATTTAAAAATATAATTATGCAGGGACATTTTAGGGAAAGTACACTTTTTTAAACAATTCTCATCTTTAGGTCTATTTTTAGTTAACCTTTTTCTTTTTTAAGTATTTTTTACTGATTATATTACAGTTTTCCCAATTCCTCTCCCTTTATCCCCATTCCACCCTGACCCCCAACCTTCCAGCATTCCCTCCCTTAGTTCATGTCCATGGGTTTTGTACATATAAGTTCTTTGAGTCTTGTTTCCTATAACATTTTTTATCTCTTCCCATCTATTTTATGCTTACTAATTATGCTTCTTCTTCCCTGTACCTTTTCCCCCCATTCCTCCCCTCCCCCTCCCCCCTGAACTCCCTCTGTGTGATGTACATTTCTCTGATTCTGTTCTTGTTCTAGTTGTTTGCTTAGTGTTTGTTTTTGTTGTTTTTCTTTCTTTTAGATTCATTTGTTGATAGTTACAAGTTTGTTGTCATTTTATTGTTCATATTTTTGATCTTTTTATTAGATTAGTTCCATTAACATTTTATATAATAATGACTTGGTGATGATGAACTCCTTTAACTTGACCTTATCTGAGAAGCACTTTATCTGCCCTTCCATTCTAAATGATAGCTTTGCTGGATAGAGGAATCTTGGATGTAGGTCCTTGCATTTCATGACTTCAAATATTTCTTTCCAGCCCCTTCTTTCCTAGAGGGTTTCTTTTGAGAAATCAGCTGATAGCCTTATAGGAACTCCTGTGTAAGTGACTGTCTTCTTTTCTCTTGCTGCTTTTAGGATTTTCTTTGTCTTTGATCTTGGGTAACTTAATGATGATGTGCCTTGGTGTGTTCCTTTTTGTGTCCAATTTCTTTGGGACTCTCTGCGCTTCCTGGACTTCCTGGAAGTCTTGTTTCATTTGCCACATTGGGGAAGTTTTCCTTCATTGTTCAGATAAGTTTTCAATTTCTTGCTGCTGTTCTTCTCCTTCTGGCACCCATATAATTCGGATATTGGAGTGTTTCAGGTTGTCCCAGAGATTTGTAAGTCTCTCCTCGTTTTTTGAATTCTTGTTTCTTCATTCCATTCTGGTTGGATGTTTATTTTTCTCTTTTGTTTCAAATTGTTGCTTTGAGTCCTGGTTTCCTTCTTGTCACTGTGGTCCCCTGAATATTTTGCTTTATTTCATTTTGGGTATCTTTCATTTGTTTTTTCAGTTTTTGACTAAGCTCAATCAGTTCTGTGAGCATTTTGATTACCAAGTCTTTAAATTCTCCATCAGATAGGTTGTCTGTCTCCTCATCACTTAGTTCTCTTTCTGAATTTTGCTGTGTCCTTTCATTTGGGCCATATTTCTTTGTCTTGGTATACCTGATAAGTTGTAAGGGGGTGGGGCCTTAGGCATTCAATGGGGCAGGGCACCCGTCTTTGCTGCTCTGCGGTACTGCTATGGGGGAAGGGCCAGAGAGGGAACAATGCAGTTCGCCTGCTCATCTCTGGCGCACTTTCCAACGGTCGCTCACGTGAGACTGGTAGTCCACAGGCAATTCTTGAGTCTCAGTTTCGCCTTCAGCCAGCCCCACCTGCCCTGTCTGCCGCCCTGCCTCGGTTTTTCTGAGCTGGTCTGGCCCACAAGTTCCGCCACCTTACTGGTCTGGTTGTTCTGGTTAATTTTTTCTTTAATTCCTTGGTTGTCAGAGTTCCATGCAGTATGATTTTCTGGCACTTCTTGTTGTTTGTTGATTTGAGATTGGTTCCTCTCCTCCTTTTGGTTGTGCAAGGAAGCAAAGGGTTTCTACCTATGCCACCATCTTGGCTGGAACTCCCAAAACTTTTTCTTTTTTTTTTATTTTAGTCATTGTTCAAGTAGAGTTTTCTGCCTTTTATTCCCATTCCAGCCCACCCACCCATACTTCCCCACCTGCCTCCCATTCCCCCCTCTTAGTTTTTGTCCATGTGTCCTTTATATTTGTTCCTGTAAACCCTTCCCATTCTCCCCTGAAATTCCCTCTTCTCTCCCCTCTGGTCACTGTCAGCCTGTTCTCTATTTCAATGTCTTTGACTATATTTTGCTTGTTTCTTTGTTTTGTTGTTTAGGTTCCTGTTAAAGGTGAGATCATATGGTATTTGTCTTTCATTGCCTGGCTTATTTCGCTTAGCATAATGCTTTCCAGCTCCAAAACTTTTTCTTTTGCCACTTTCTTTTTCTGTCCTTACCTGAGGGAATGCTCATTGATTTTAGAGAGAAGGGAAGGGAGGCAGAAAGAGATATAAGTTGGTTGTGTTTTGTAACACATGCCCTTAACAGGAACTGAATTCTCATCCTAGGCTAATAATGTCTTGTCCAGGAATCAAACCCCTGGTCTTTTGGTTTGCAAGGTGACATCCAACCAACTGAGCCACAATTGCCAGGGCTCTTTTGCAACTACTTTTGACACATATATTTATTTCTTAAGTACCCACAAGTATTTTTAATTTATTTAAGTCCTGATTTATTCTTTATTTATTTAAGTTTTGATTTATAAAATACTTTGCTCTTACATTTTATTTTCAGTGTATGCTAGTTAATTGACAACCTCAAAATATTGGCACCTTAGAAGAAAAGTTCATTTCTCACTTATTAATTTTTAATATCTTACATACTGGCTTTAGATCAACTGGAACTCTGTTTCATATGTTTTTTTTCACTCTGAAATTAGAGCTGAAGGATCAGCCCCTACCTATCCTGGAACATAGTGTTTTTGTACCTGAGGGAAAAGAACATTGCCAGAATCACATTTGATTCTTCTTGAATGTAGCATATGTTACTTCCACAACAAACCAAGTGACGAAGCCTGCTATTAGTGGTCAGAGAAGCATAATTTTTTCACCAGATATGGAGTGACTTATTGGGAACAGGATTGTATATAAAACAATCAAACCCTAAAGAATATAGGAGAGTAGACACATCTTGTTATCTAATCATAGCTTTTCAACATGGGACCGACCTGCCCTTGTACAAATTTCTTCCCAACTTTACACTTCCACATATTGTGAATATAATAATCTAAATAGAGAGTCTGCAGAATGTCCTTTTTTTTGCCCTTTTTAAAAATTATTTTATTGTTGTTCAAGTACAGTTGTCTGCATTTATCCCCCGCCCCAGCCATACCTACCTCCCTCCCCTGCTTCCCACCCACCTTTGGTTTTGTCCATGTGTCCTGAAAACCCTTCCCCTCTGTCCCCCCAGTTATCCCCTCCCACCTCTCCTCTGGTTACTGTCATATTGTTCTTAATTTCAATGTCTCTGATTATATTTTGCTTGCTTATTTGTTTTGTTGATTAGGTTCCACTTAAAGGTGAGATCCTGTGGTATTTGTCTTTCACCACCTGGCTTATTTCACTTAAGATAATGCTTTCCAGTTCCATCCATGCTGTTGTGAAGGGTAGGAGCTCCTTTCTCTCTGCTGCATAGTATTCCATTGTGTAAATGTACCATAGTTTTTTTTAATTTTATTTTAATCATTGTTCAAGTACAGTTTTCTCCCTTTTACTCCCACAGAATGTCCTTTTTAAAAAAAGACTTTTAAGTGTACATCTGTTGACAACCACTGATTATCTTGCAAAGTTGACTGTTTTCTTTTTTTTTCCATAAGTGAGATTTTATTGGTTGTTCTGAAGATAAGTACACTGACATTTCAATTTGTACACAATTCTTAACATATGTACCAAAAATGTAAAATCATGTAGTTATGATTCTTTTTTGAAGTTATTCCAGTGACTTTCCAGCTTAAAATTTGGGGACTAATTTCCTTATCTTATTAAGGATACTCTTATGTATCAAATACCAATATCTGCAAATGCTGATACGCTGTTACATCAAAGCCTGACTAATTCACAATTTAATATATATACTACATAATTGAATTTTCAGTCTTTCACAGCACATTAACGAAGTTACTGGGAAAACTGGACTACCACAACAAGATGTTACAGAGTGCACAAAGTTCTGATGGAGGGGAGCCAAGATCAAGGAGAGGTTTTCTTTAGGAAACACTTCTACCAAAAACATGAGAATAGAAATAATTTAAAATGTTCGAGACATAGTAAATGCACAACTGACTCCAAATTGCCATTTAGTATGCTTTGTGTTATAGGATATAAAAACTACCCCCATCTATGGAATGTTTAGCCGGCACCCAAGACAATCAAAGCCTCCCATATTCAATATCCCACTATTTTCTGGTTGTACCAAAAAATAAACAACCAGCAAATGATTTCACCTCTTAAAAAAAATGATTTACACTTAAAAAAATGGGATGAGGTGGAATTCCCTCCTTCTTAAAAATGTTTCTAGAGCTACTAAAAAACTTGTATTTACAAAATAGTTGATAAAAATATTCCTCTGGATTGTACAAGAAGGGAGACAGGGACCACTGATAAGACATGATATATGATATTAATCAGACTTGGCTTCTTTTTCTCCTGCTTTATCCGAGGCTGGACTCTCCTCGTTTTTAGTTTCCGTTTTCCGCAGGTAGGTCTTCCTTAGGCTCCTGGTTAGCCACTTCGGCCTGTTTTCCCTTTGCTCCCCTTTTCCCTTTCGTTTGCACCTTTTTGTCTGCAGACTTGTCCTTTCCTGCCGCCTTTTTTGGCTTGGTTTCCACTTTTGCAGGAGCAGGTTTAGCTGACAACCTCCCAGATCTCCTCTTGGGCTCCTCCTTCGCCGCCCCCTTGCGGAGCTGACCTTCCTCTTGGGCATCGTGGCGGTGGGGCGGGCGCTGCTGGTGCCTGGGTGCTTGAGAGCAGCACTGCGCTGGGAACCTTCGCAGACCTGGACGCCTGGCTGATACTGCTGCTCCCGCGGTCCAAACTGCTGGGACCCTGCAAAGTTGACTTTTTTCTGCACTCTTTTTTTTATGAAAAGTTTTTTACATGTAAAGAGATTCTTCTTAAAGAAAAAAATTAATTCCAACTTTTTTACATCAGTATCTTCATTTTTTCCAGTGTTTATTTGTCTAAATATTTAATATTACATGAAAGACATACTGTTACACAATATTTAAATCTTGTATCTTCTAGGCAGACCATTCCTAGACTTTCTTCTTTTTTAATGTGAGATGCAGTAGCTGATAGTTTCTCTCTTCAGTACACTAGACTCTTTGACTTTCATCAGCAGATCCCCAGCTGTGTGTTCATCTCATCCAAAATGGTTTAGCAGTTCTGTGTCATTACATATTTAAGGTTTAAAATCTCCACTGGACCTGCCATGTCTTTTTATCTCAGGACAATTCCGTCTCCCATTCCGCTTATGAACTGTTCCAGACAAACTCTCTTCAAGCCCCTTTCTCAGCCACTCTCTTCAAGTTTTTCAGGTAGCCTTGTGTTCATTAAGCAAGATCTGCTACTTGCCTTTCTGCTTTCTTGACTTACCTGTAGCAATTGTCATTCTCATTCACTTTGTTCCAGCTACAGGGGAAAAGTGGCCACAGTGCTGTGTAAGATCACCCATTCTTCTTGTGTTCTTGACTCTCTCTTATGCCACTTTATGTACTTCTTCCTCATCTTCAGATTCTAAATTTCTATAACTTTTCTGTCTTAAATTCAATAAATCAAAAATAAACTTTTCCTTGACTCCCCTTAAGACTCCTTCAAGTACATGTGCAAACATGGAAAAATGAAAATAGCTACTGATTTTAACGTTGTAGACATTTGGTATGGTTTTTGTCTTAAATGCTTTTATCCCTTGGTTTTTGTGTCACTTCTTTCTGAAATCCCTCACACCTTTTTTTCTCCCATTTCATTTCTGTTCTTTGGAATGTAGATTTTTATCTTTAGCCCAGTTCCCTTGGAACCTTTTTCAGTCATGATTTCACACATGAAATACTTGATAACATGTAAAGTCTTTCTTAAATAATTGGTAATCCAGTTGCCCACTGGACATTTCCACTGTATGTCCCATCCACTACTTTTAATAATATATTTAAACTCACAAATATTTCTTTTTGGGCATATATATTCTTCCTCTCTTATTCATCTGTTCTTTTAGTGGCACAGTCATTCACCATATCATCCTAGCTAGGAAAACAGGTGTTACTCTTGACTGCTTCTCTGTGCTATTCTCTCACATGCAGTGAATCACCAAAAGCTTCCAATTTTGAGTCTTCTCCTCTGCATTCTCCCCCTTATGATCACTGTCATTAGTTAGGCTCCTACTTACCTGGAGTATTATGTCTTGATAAGAAGTTCCCTAGCCTATTTTTGTTGTTGTTGTTGTCAAATATGGCTTCCAAACAGCTCTCAAAGACATCTTGAATGCAAAATTGTCTTTCCTGGCTTAGGCCATACTTTATGCTCATGGTCCTTTATGATCTGGCCATTGCCTAGTTATTAACCACATTGCTCCCCATTACTCAGCAGAACCTTTGTGTGACTATACTGCTGCTTATAGGTCTCCAGATAAGCTGTGCTTGTCCTCACCTCTGTATTGTCATACAATACTTAAAGTTTCTTACACTAAAATCCAAAGCCTGCCACACTTCTGTACCTTCAGAACTTTTTACTCATCCTTTAAGACTCCCCTAGAGTTAACACATTCCCTCTTGTATTCTCCTTTGCTTATCTTTATGTGTAAATCCCTTAAAGCAGTGCCTGTCATAAAGTAAGTGCTATATACATGTTGCTTATTAATGTTTACTACATTGTAGTTTGATTTCATTTTTGGGTCCTTTACTCTATCAGTGGCAGAACCTAGCAGTGACTGAATGATAGCTATATATTCCATCAAGTTGCTGTACTTTCTTTCAGTTATTCCCTCGTAGGATAAGTGTAAATCTATAAACCTTCAGATTAACACCTTATTGTAAGTTTTCTCCTACTTAGCATCATTTCTTTGGCATAGATTCCTAGGAGTGGGCCAACCAAGTCAAAGACTGCAAGTATTTTTGTAATTCCTGTATATAATCATAATTTGTCCAGAAAGATCAGTTGTGGTGTTAATCACATTGAGCATTTCTCCCCCAAATTTAATACCTATAAAATAATACCTTTAAAATATATTTCTTCAACAAATTAAATAGCACATTTTGCCAGTTATGTGTGTATTTGTGAGAACTGGCTGTTTGTCTTTTGGAGCCTAAAGGATGATGTTATGTGTTTGAACAGGCTCTTACATACTTGAGATATAAACCCTTTGTTCTGTTTCCTTAGGTTTTCACCAGCTTTTAACTTTGATGTTAATTGTATAGATGCTTTAAATTTTATGTAATTAAATATATTTATTATTTTTACTAGTTTCATTTGCCACATAGCTTAAAATTATATCCTTCATGATCTACAATCTGTCTTTTTTTTAGTCTTGATTTATGCATTTTTTAATGTTAACTGGAAATCTTTTTTATATACATATAATAAATAGTCTTTTCCAATTGCAGTATACATAGCATAATTTAAAAAATCTCTTCTCCCCCATTGTTTATTTGCTATGTTAAAACTTTTGCAAAATGTCTATTTCTGATCTGTTGTTAAAGAGATTGCAATGTTTTTTTGTTTCCAGCATACCTGAAGGAGATGGCCTACTTTGCTCAGTAACAACACATTATAACTATTTGCTTACATATTTTTCTGCCTGGAAAGATGATAGTATAATTCATGTATATATTCTAATTTTCTTGTTTCCACTACTTCCTCAGTATATGTTTCTCAGGATATATAACTATATAGTAATCCTAGTTTATACTTGGGAATATAGCTGGATTCCTGCTTAATTTGACAATAGATTTCCATTTAATACTGTTAGGAATCCTCATAGATTAAGTTTACAGGGTATTTTCCCTTTGATTCAGGTAATTCTCAGAAAAGTGGCTCCTGGGAAAATATCTCCTGGTTACCTTTCAGGCACATTTATCTTTCTGCTGAATTCTGAACCAGCCATGAAATGACTGTTCCTTTAATTACACTGTTCCCTTTGCTTGTTGTGCCCTCCTCCAATTATAGGCCTCTCTTATACATTCCTTGAAATTTAGTTGGAGTTACTGTTTTGTATCTAATTTGCTCTACTATATGGCCTATGTCCCAGTTTCCTTGTATGTAAAATGGGGATAATAGTACCTACCTCGGGGATGTGGTCAGGATCAAATGCTTTGATACCTAACAGTACTTAGTTCTTGGCACCTTGTTAAGTACTCAATCAATATTAGTTGTTGCTGCTATTATTGTTCATTGTTTACATGTCAAACTCCACTAGATAATGAATTCATAGAACATTAAAATGTGTTTTGGGTTTTTTTTTTAGTTTAATAGCTGGAATTTAGTGAGATTTTTTTCTCTTGAATGAACAAATCATTGCTCATTCTTCATCATTGATTTAATGTTTCTCATTAGGGTATTTTAAATGCAGTTAAATATTTTATGTTAAATTTTTTAATGTTTCAGAGTGAAGATTTATTAAATGAAATAAAACAACTTAAAGAGGAAATAAAGAAAAAAGATGAAAAAATCCAACTATTAGAACATCAGCTTGTAAGTATTATAGTGTGTAGAGAAGACTTTTTAAAACTCAGCAATATGTATTTTTTATAAAACTATAGCCAGACTTGAAGTTTGACTTTGATTTTGGCTTTCAGAGTTGCATTATTATATTATTTTTAGATTATATGCCCTCTAAAAGTATGTGGTTTAACTTATATTTTAAACTGTAAATAGTCAAGATGAAAAGAAAATCTTTGTCCATTCATTTTCAGTGGCATATGTTTTGGGGTTTTGAAATTCACCAATTTACAATCAGTCATTTTATTGCTAAAAGATAAATGTCTTTTCTTCATGTGTTTTTAAAGAACTGAGTACTGCTGAGTTGAAAACAGGGCATTTTTCTCTCTGGTAGCAGAATGAAATTGGGTGTCCAACTTAGCTATGTGTACAACTCTGTTAGAAGAAATGTTTCTTCTCCATGGACGATGGTGAATAGAATCTTCGTAATTTTATAGTGGTTACAGTTTCAAATGTAGGACCATGTGAAAATAATATGGATGCTGTCTTGAAGTTAAACATAACTTAGTTTGTAGTGATTTAGAAAAAGCTAGAATAACAAGAACATAATGGCATAAAAATACCAATAGGCCAAGAAAAATCTTTGTTGGATGTCAAAAGCATATTACTAAAAAGTAGGTTTTCTAAATTATGGAAAACACAGATATTTGTCAAATCTTACTCTTCATATGACAGTACATAGACACAGAAAGGAAATTATTTCCAGAATTGCACTAGTCAAGATAGAATAAATAATGTGCTTGCATTAAGATAAACAGTTTATATTACTTTTATCTTCTGTATACACATCCCATATATGTTGAAAGCTAAGTCCCATTAGAGTGAACACCAGGAGACCCTAACTTGACTCTTGAATGAACAACCCGGGATTGAATTGTGTGGGTCCACTTATATGCAGTTTGTTTGTTGGTTTTGTTTTTTTTTGCAATAAACATACATAGGATTATAAATGTATATTCCATCCTTATTATTTTTAAAATAATATTTTCTGTAGCTTACTTTATTGTAGGAATATAGTATATAATACATATAACATAAAGAATGTGTTAATTGACTATGTTTTCCTTAAGGCTTCCGGTCAACAGTAGGCTATCAGTAGTTAAGTTCTTGGGGAGTCAAATGTTATGTGCAGGTTTTCAACTGTGCAGAGAATTGGCACACCTGAACCCCACATTGTTCAAGAGTCAACTATATATTGAATTATGTTTTGATGACTATCTCATTTCTTAGGAATGAGAAATATGTCTGTACTACAAGAAATGAAAAATATGTCAGTACTACAGAGATTTTTTTGTTTTAACTAGATTTTATTTTGTATATGGAAATTGGAATGATCTAGTTTCAATTTAGATAATTTTTTAATATTGGTAATTATTTTTTAACTAGAAACTTAAAATTTTATCTTGATGTAGTAATGAATCAGCTAGCATTGTTGTGAGAGGCAACATTTGGCTTCAGTGAATTTTTTTTGAAAACTCAATGCCTTTGGGTGATTTACAAGCACACATGCCCACATCATGCTGAGTGTTCAGCAGTTTTTGACCAAAAAGGAAACGATACTCATGCTCCACCTTACTGTTCACCCAGTCTTGCCCTGAGCTACTTTGTTTCCCTGGATGAAAAAAGTCCTCAAAGGGAAACGTTTTGCCAGTGTAGAAGAGGTGAAACAAAAAATGGCAGAAGCATTAAAAGGCATCAAAATCGATGAGTTCAAAAACTGTTTTGAGCAGTGGAAAAAACATCAATATAGTATTGCATCAAAAGGAGAGTACTTTGAAGGTGACTGAAGTTTAAACATGTAAGAATAAATACATGATTTTGTATAAATAAATTCTGGGGATATTTATTTGTATAAATAAATTATGATGATTTGGGTCCCCTTTCATAATATGGTTATATTCCAACTTCACACTAAGGAGAAATTCTCATTCTCAATCCTTTCATTTTTTTTTAAAAGACTTTATTTATTTTGAGAGAGAAGGGATGTGAGGGAAAGAAACATTGATTGGTTGCCTCTCACACACCCCTACTTGGGGACCTAGCCTGTAACCCAGGGTTGTACCCTGATTGGGAATCGAACCAGTGACCTTTCAATTTTCAGGTCATTGCTCAATCCACTGAGCCACACCAGCTAGGACAGTCTTTTCTTCTTTTTTCTTTTTCTTCAAATATTTGGTATTTACTTGAAAGACCAAAGTTTACACAACAGATACATTACTTTGTGTAGTATAAATGTCTAAATGAGTATGCTTTGAGTGGAATCATGGTAAGATAATTCATTTGTGAATTGAGATCTATCTTGTCAAAGGGCAGAGATCCTTCAAAGTATTACAGTCCAGTAAAGTCAGCACATCATTAAAGGAGCTTAAAAGTCCTAGACATGTGAAAAGATAGTCTTACTTGCAGAGTGGTAGTATTTAAAATGCGGTAGAAACCAGTCAAAAATGAATTTAAGAAATTGTGCTGCAGTTATTGTAGTAATCATAATAGTTTAGAGAAATACTTCAATTCTTGCAATTGTATTCTTTATATATTATATATTGTTATGTATATTTTCCATTTGTATACATAAGTACTATATATATTTATATGCATGAAATTATAGGGTAGTGCATTTTATGGATAATATAAGAGATTGCAAATGTGATTTTGACTATTCCAAATTTTAGCCTTCTGGCTGACTCTCAAACCCAGTCTCTGAATAAGATGGAAGATTACCTGATAGATCTTGATGTTTGCCGCTCTTTTTTTAACCCTCTAAAAGAGACCCTAATTTCTTTGTATATGTAGATATGTTTGAAATATTACATCAGTATAAAAATTTGCATTTTTGTTCAGGCAACTCGATGTAACTGTCACCACAAATCTAAAGAGGAAAAATGCACATATGTCGATAAATATACTCAAACACCCTGGAGAAGAATTCCTGTAAGTAGCATATACCCATAACCCCTTCTCTTGTCATTTACTATTTTGATGTTTTATTCCACCTTGTTTTTACTCTAGTCTTTAAAAAGTTTGAATCTGTAATAGCTATTAATTTCTTTTAGCAAGTTGTTTTTTTCCTTGTCTCTTAGGTGTTTATGTGCTTTCTATAGCTTTTCTTGTGTCTTATGTAAGTGAATGTGCATTTAATAGCTTTTCTGTTCTGCATATTGTAATCCGTTTTATTTGAGTGTCTAGTCTTCTCCCACTGCCTATATTTATGAGGGTATTATTTCTCCGTACTCTTAAAGAAACAGAGGTCCAAAATGCAGTCTTCCCTCTTTGGCAGCATATAACTCTTTGAAAATATATGATGTCATATGTTCTTTTTGTTGTTGTTGAAATTTTCAAATATATTTTATTATTATGATTACTCATATTTCTCAAATGTTGAGGCTGTTAGGAAGTATAAATGCATTAGGATATAGACAGTAAAGGTTATGTTTTTAGACATAGTTAAGGAATGGTTTGTTCTAAACAGAAAATAACCATGTAGTCTGCCCTTCTTTGTTGTTTTTCAAAAATGATACATCTCAGAACATGTTTAGTGCTAAAGTACACTGACAATAATTTAATCTGAGTTTTTCTAAATTTAGCTCAGGTTGTGTCTGAGCCAGAAGATCATCATATGATCATCAGTTATCATTATCCTATTGTGTAGTGCTAAGTAATGAATAGTCCTTTTTTAGACAATGCCTAATAAGCCAGCCTTGACTCTTCTTTTGCCTTATTTTATCAGTGGAATCCTAGTAACACAAATGAAATGGTTAATATAATCAACAATCCATTTTTTAAAACAGGTGTAGGCCTTTAAAGTTTATAAACTACTTATTTCTTTTCACCTGATTAGCATCTTTTGTGTGCTCTGTATGATGCTGATAATTAATTTATTCAGCAAAAGTTTGGTGAGCCTCTCCCGTCTAGTTAGGCTTCTGAAGTAGAAATGGGGATTTGTGGAAGGAAATACACAGAAAAATAAGGGGATTCCTCCATTAAGCAATTTAATAAAGGAACTGGTGATGTGATATAAAGTGTAGTAAGCTCTGTAAGGTTCAAAAGATTGGGAAAGAATGGATGGAAGAAATGAATAGTTGAAAGAATCAAGGAACATAGTGAAGAAGGTGAAGCGTGGTTGAATCATAGAAAGCAAAAGATGCCAGTAGACAGAAATGATACAGTATTTCTTTAAAGTCAAAGGATGTGGAAACTTAACTGTTTGGAAACAACTGCAAAATGAAAAACCATGCCTCTTGTTTCTAAATTGAGCTAGGGCTTTCCAGCTTTCTCCAAGTATCTTCATAGGGATGTTTGGGTCTTCTGGCATTGTTACTAAGTAAATTGGTGGTTTCATTAAGTGTGAGTAGTTCTATTTTGCCCTTCTTTGGAGAGTCTGTAACATCTCTGGCTCCCTCAACTTCACTGTTCTGGAAACTGGCTATTATTTATAAGTCTGCTCACTGGACAAAAATAAATGGTGCAAAACACATCAAGACATTCCTGAATATACTCTTGAGTTAGCTTTACTATGACCTTGGGTGAATGAAGGTCAAATTTTCAGCCTAGCACATATAACAAACTCAGACTTTAGGATTCCTTATTATCTATTTCTATAGGAATCACCTGGCTGAATACCTTTGTTTTATAGGTAAGGTAACAAAAGCCAGGCAGATTAAATGGCATATTAAAGTTTCCATAATTACCCAGTGGCTGAATTAGTACTATTAACTTCAGACTGCTGGTTTTTAGTCCAAGGTTTCTTTCCCCTAAAGCACACTGAAGAGCCTTGAAGGACAGAAAGAAGTTTTGCAGATTGAAATGGGAGATATATTCTTGGCAAAAGGAACAATACAAGTAAAGGCAGAGAGGTGGGAAGATACAGTTGGGTAATATAATTTTGGCAGGAACATAGATGTATGTTTAGAGAAATAGTTGAAGTAGTGTTAAAGTTCATTTGAAGGTAGAATATAAAATTTTATCCAGGAATTACTGAGAAAATAGCAGTATTTATTTAAAGAAATAGTTACATATATTTATTTAATTAAGTGCTAATTATTAAATGTTCATCTTAATTTTTTATTTTATTCTCTGATCTTATATTCTTTAGACTTTGTTGGTTTCATTTAAAATAAATTACTTTGGAAACCATTTATTGTAATAACAAAGGTTTTACTTTTTTCTTTTAAAAAGTTACATCTTATTCTACATGTTCTTTTTTAACAAGAACAGAACATATTTAAACAAGATGTTGATGATGGGGATGAGGAGATGCAGTGAGACTCATTTTTGGCAACATCTAGTTTGTTAGGTGGTAATTTGAGGAATCAAAACATGTTATATTTAAAAAATTCCCCAAGTTTAGTATAGGTAAATTTTTTTTAATTTTTTAAGATTTTATTTATTTATTTTTAGAGAGGGAAGGGAGGGAGAAAGAGAGAGAGAAACATCAATGTGCGATTGCTGGGGGCTGTGGCCTGCAACCCAGGCATGTGCCCTGACTGGGAATCGAACCTGCAGTGCTTTGGTTCGCAGCCCGCTCAATCCACTGAGCTACGCCAGCCAGGGTGGTAAAATTTTTTTTGATCTGGCTAACCTGATGCCGACCCCAGCTCCACATTGTGGATGGGGGAAAGACAATTCACATGGACTGCTGAGTCCTGTGGAAGAAAAGGGCGGGCGGCTTTGCTCTCAAGAGGAGCCAAAAGCCGAGGCCTCCACCATGACAGGCCTTTATTTCTTCTGGGCATGTTACATGATGGTCCTCATTTACTATGCCCTGGTTGGCTTTAGGTGGTCACCTTTTAGAGAAAAAACAGGAGCCAATGCCGCTAGTCACATCACAGAAGAAAGATATTTGCAAATGAAAGGGGAAAAGTAGTTGAACTGGTTATACTAATCCTTCGAAGGTTTAGCATGGGTTTTAGGAAGTTACTTTGCAGTAAATGTTTGCTGCAAATCAGGGTAAGGGAGTTTTTAGCAAAAGCAAGACTCAGAGCAGCCTAGGCACATTGCAGGCCTAAATCACCATGGGAGAACCTGTCCGTGGGCGTGGGTCCTGTGCATTGGACCTTGCTTTCCACTGGGAGCTGGGCCCACACCTAACAGATCGGTCTCCTACATTAACCCTTTGGGAAGACTGAAAGTAATAATCTGAGTACTTGTTCTTCACCATTTCCTGTAATATGTTAAACATTTAAATGCCTTCCTCGAGATTCTTCCAGTTAGTTGAGGATTATAGGGTCTATCTCAGAGATTTGTGAGGCATATGTAAGCATTTCCTGAAACATTTCTTGGAATAGGAGAAAGAAATCTGGCTGTAATGGAAGGCAGAGAAGGACAGTAGAAGAGAGAGTTACTGCCTATAATATTTGTTAGCAACTATTTAGGATATGGGAATAAAAGAACAATACACAGAAGAATCAGTCAGAATCTGTCAGAAGAAGGAGAATGGTAGACCACCAATAGCAGCAGAGTAATTAAATTTGAATGTGTTGAGCCCAACATAAGTTTCTAAATGTTTTCAAAAGAAGTTTGGTATCAACTAATTACTGCAAATAAGTTTTTAATAGTAGAGAACCAACAGGAAATACACCAGAGGATGAAATAAGGTAGTAGATCAGGGGAAAGGAAGAAAAGCAGATACTCACTTATTCATTCACAGATATTCATGTGCTTACTCTATTCTGGGCACTCTCCTAATCTTTGAGTGCAAACATGAAAAAGATACATACAGTCCCAGCACGCAGGATGCTTACAGAAACTTCAGATGTGCCTAAAATGGTATTAATCTCACTCTTTCCTCATGTGAAAAAGCTGTGATTAATTCCCTGACCAGAGACAAACAGCTGCTCAGGTTTATGCTATGTGGTAGAGATTTTAGGAGTCTGCTGTAATAATCCATATAACATATTTGTAGTATTTAAAATTTTATCTTGGGAGATAAAATGAAATGTTAAATGCAAGAAACAATATAACTCAAAGATTTGTCTTAAGAGCATTTTCTCCTGAGTCCTTTTTCTTTTATATCATGTGCCTTCCTGATTTTGGAAGTGGGCAGCATTATTGATTAATTTTTATATGAGATTAATGTCCTGATTTTAATTAGATGTACCATTTTCTCCCAATTAAAGAGATGTCACAGTACTATTTGTATGTATTTCCAAAGGGAATTAAGGGGTTTATATCTTTGTCAAGGCCCTTTATTGTAGTCACTGTTAGTTATATTTAAAATATGCCACTAAAAGTATTTTAAATGAAGTATACATATACTTTTATATTTAAACAAGTAAGATTTATGATGTGGTCATGCAATTATTTTTAAATTGTTTAATGTTTAGTCAATATTAGATATTGACCATTGAATATGGCCTGTGTTTTAATGAGCTCAATGCTGACAGGTACCATCTATGTTGCTGACACATTCCATTCCATTCTATTATGTGTCTTTAACACTGATTTTATAAACAGTAGTACTGTGACTTTTATGGCTGGATCTGAAACCAATAACTGAGAAACAGAATTGTTTTTCAAGGCTAGGAACAAATTAAGTACGGCTATTATAGCAATTGATTTACCTTGTCATAAATTTTAGGGTATCTAAATCTGTGCCCTCCATTACCAAATATAAGAATAATTGAGAGGCATTTTTGAAATCACTGAAAGAAGCAAAGTTTGTCCGCAGTGCAGTTAGAAAACAAAGGATAGCCCGAAGTTTTCTACTGCTAGGATCCCTTTCATTTGTGCAATGTAATATACAGTTTAGTTTACTGACTTGTACATTAGAATGCAGGCAGGACACTGAGAGATTTTACTTTCAGGATTTAATGTTAGGCAGCAGTCAGTGAGACATGGATCATCCTCTTAGCTTTCCAAGAAGCATCCTGATCAAATCAGTCCTTCCGAAGAAATCAGTCAGCTTTCCTAAGAGGTAATAAAAGAGGTAACAA